AGTGATAAAATGTGACAGCATCTCTAAAATACTTATCTTCACTGACAGTTTTACTGCCCTAGGAATTCTGTGGCTAGTCACACCTGTGCATTCCCATGAATACAGACTCGTCAGTAGAGCAACCTGGAACATACCATGGCATTTCTATGATCTCACCAGTTGCTCTAAATTAACTGGAGGCATTCCTTTGGCTATCTGATTAGTTTCTAACCTTACCTTATACAGGTGCCGCATACACTTTATACTGAAACAGGGGATTTTTCTGTTTTATCACCTACAATTAGCAAGGATTTTAAAAAATGTATCAATTTGGTAACTGGTGTTATTAGGATACTTACCTTGCAACAGAAGGAAGAGTGGGTGACATTCAGTCACTTTAAGGTGCCTATTTTGCTGCGTACGTGTCAGTTGAGGGCCGGTGCACACCTAGGCGATCTGTTAACGTGCGGATTGCCGCATGGTCATGGAGTCGCCCGATCACACTGTGGGTGCAATTATTTTCTAATGGCACCCCAGTCGCGCCGGGCGGATAGCACGGTTTCACGCAGCGATTCCGCCCGTGCATCTGAAAACAGCCGTGCGTCGTGTATCGCAAAAAAAAGCTACATGTACCTTTTTTCTGCGATTGCCATGCGGATGTAACCCCATTGAAATCAATGTGCAGGACCACACGATCCCGGGACGTGTGATCCCGGATCGCTCAGGTCTGCCCCGGGCCTCATGCTCATCAAACAGTTAGCAATGATTTATAAATGTACTTTCTTAATTTACTTTCAGAATGTATTGAGTGATATAGCTGCTTTATAAGAGGAGTAGAGACTGTTCACTGAGCAAAGTTATACTATGCTAAGTAATCCGGGTTAAATAGTGTTCCTTTTGAATATCCAATTACATGCAAGGGAAATAAAAAACAGTATTTTTTCTTGCACATGATTGGATGATTGAAGTGAACACAACTTCACCTTATTTACTAAGTGAATAAGCACTTTGCTAAGTAAACACTCTCTACTCCTTCAATAAATCAACCCCACTGCGTTTCCAATAACAGGCATATACAGTTGCCCAGATATTTTCTTATCTATACTTCTGTTGAAATGTAACAATATCGATACATGATATGTTTTAAATAATTAAAGCGTCATCATGTGTGTACAATGAATTGCCGAAACCATATGGTAAAGAGCAACATAATATTAGTGACCTGCAGGGGAATTCGTCCCCTGGTTATGAAGCTGTGAGTAGACACGTTCCTGCTAAATTGATGGACATACCACAATATATCCAGTCCAACTAGAGACCACATATTTTCTCCTGGTCATACTAGTTTCATCCCAGTACATGGCTGCAGGCTGTGATCATTCAAACACATACAACATTCCCCACTCAAATCTCTTTCAACTAGCTAATTCAAGAAGATTGTGGATTAAACAAGACTCTGCTTTTTTTTGCCAGATAAGCAGACAGTGGTAAAGAGAAGATTTACTGGTATCATCATGATAAATAACATGATTGTATGAGGCAGTTAGTCATTTTTGAAGCAAGAACATGCCACTACAGTTTGTAGTCTCTACAGCCTCTACATATGAATGATAAAATATTTTTATCTAGGGATGAACCGATACTGGTATCGGTATTGGTGCCGATGCTGAGCATTTTGGTGACACGTACTCATCCAAATGCTCCGATACTTACCCCGATACTGGAACTTCCGGTCAGAGGGAGATTCTGACCGGGAGAGGCATAAGCGAACAGCGAGTCGGCTTTCCGGCTAATCAGGAAGTCAGGCGGCGTCATGACCATTCTCCCGGCTTACTGATTGCCTAGGAAGCTGGCTTCACGCTGCCTAGCCACACTGTGAGGCAGCCTGGCTTCCTGATCAATCAGGAAGCCGGGGCTGCACGTCATAACCCACCTCCCCGGCTTCCTGATTGCATAGAAAGCCAGCTTCATGTTGCCTAGTGACACTGTGAGGAACCCTGCCTTCCTGACCAATCAGCAAGCCGGGGCGCAGGTCATGACGTGCCGCCTGGCTTCCTGCTTTTTAAAGAGTTCTTCTTTAAACATGTGATCAGTTCCCAATCTTGCCATAACCTGCCAGATACTGTAGTTCGTGTGTAGTTTGTAGGTACCATTAATATAGACTGTTTATGTCAGTAGTCTCTGATTTTATACAGACAGGAAAGTAATGATTGGGCTTTTCCTACTGTCTTGACATGCTTTGGATTCTGTGCATTTCAGTATATGAACATACATTTTTAAAGGCAGGCCATAGACAGCATGATTTAATACATTTGCATTATAGTAAGTTAATTTGATTAAAAAACAATAGCAAATAAAAAAAATTAACTGACAAGTATCAAGCAAATATTTTACAAGAGGATGGAAAATCATTCTCAATAGATGATCGTGGCCAATTTTGATGGGCAGTGGGGTTGCTGTGACATCTGTTTTAAATCGGCGACATCACTAGCTCTTACAAAAGACAAAGAGATTCTTTGGAAAATCATTTCCATACTAGTTATACCCTCTTTAAAGTGAACCTGTGCTTTAACCATGCACGGCAAAAGAAAAGACCTACTTAACCCCCTCCTCCAGCAGCATATACTCATCTTTTCTTCACTTTCCTTCTGCTGTTCTGTTCGGTTCTGGTAATAGTTGAACATGTGAATCACTCCCACTCTCCAATGTAACAATGCCTCGATATTAGCCTAGCACTGTCACCACTGGCGGAAATACCAGGGTCGCAGCGGTCACAATTGCGACAGGGCCCTGGTGTTCTGCATGGTGGGGGGGGGGGGACCCAGAGAGGAAGAAGAGGGCCCCCAGCTCCCTCATGCTGCCCCCCCGAGATAGTGTCGCTTCTTCCCCACTGCTGTGCCACCTGCAGCAGCAGAGGTGGGGCATGTACGGGCGGCTGTGTGGGGATGGAGAGGCTGTGCCAGTGATCGGTCACCTGTCCAGCAGAATGTGCTGCAGGCAGCACATTCTGCTGTGTAGGAAAGGGCCCTCTCCACTTAGTCCCGCCCCATGGTCGCAAGACAAAGAAGGTTCTGCAGGAGTCAGGTGTGGGTGAAGGCTGGACCGGG